AATATGATATATGTTCAATACACTATAATTAGAAGATCAAAATTATTTTGAGTAATGTGTCATGAACTTCAGTATACTTTGCTTGATATACAATGTATTTCTCTGTTCAGTACAGTCATGACAGTTTCGATATGAAAAGGTACCTGTTCATATATTTATTGGCATTATCAATGCTATTGACCTGCGTGGTAGTATAAAACTGAACTTTTTATCAAGCATTCTCACTGTGTATCATCGCCACCGGAAATTGGGTACTAACGAAGCGGAGAGAAATGGAAAAAAAAGTAAACAAGGTAATAATTCATTCAATTTAAAGCATTTCTACTAATTTGACGAGGGTACCGCTTAAGAAATGATTTTCTGATATATAATTCTTTAAATTATTAGGCCGATAAGTACAAAATTAAGACAATATTTTGTGTTATACTCAAGAACTTGCCACTTAGTACCTGAAAATTTCGAGGTCGATCGTCCTCTGTCGCCCCATTGGCAAGATATTCAACTGTTTTTCATTATTTTTCCAGACACTTTTTTAGATTATTATAGTGTGGCATCATATTTACTGAAATTTGTTGTCAAAATGAACTTTTTAAAAGAATATAGACCATAAAAAATAAAGTCAAGGGTACGGCAACTTGCTCATGTTGACAAATTTACTGTATGGCAACTTGTTTTCAACTGTATGGCAACTTGCTAATTTCAAAATATTTATTTGCCGTCTTTTTAAAGAAAATAAAGTATTAGGTTCAAATATCTAATTATGCATTTGATAAAAATACAATTCGCTTGACACCATTTAAGATGTATACACAATATAAGGCTTGAACACCGTCCTATTACATCTTTTACATACCTGATGTATACAATATGAATACGGCATATACAAAAGCCGGCAAATGTTGTAACTTTCGGAAAGGCATGTCACTGTTTTACTGACCTGTTGTTCTGCCCTGACGTAGCGTTAAATGTTACCCATGTCCGTCCGACCCGTCTCTCCCGTCCGTCCAGAAAGTCTCAATAATTGGTTTCCGTTCTCTAACTTTAATATGCCTTAACCAAATGTTTTAAAACTTACACGAAATGCTTATCACCACAAAACACAGATCAAGTTATAAATTGGGTAGCGTCACTGTTACCGTTCTTGAGTTATGCCCTTTTATAAATGAAAAAAAGCTAAAGCTGTCGTTTCTGTTCTCAAACTTTAGATTGCCTCAACCAAATGTTTTAACCATACAACATTAGTCAGCATTTGCATATAAGTGATGAACATCTCGGGGATGGGTTGTGGGTGGAGGGAAGGAAGGAGGTCATGGCAGGAGAATTTTTTCGCAATGCATATTTAGAACCATTAAGTGAATGAATTCTCTTCCAACTTTCAGATAAAATGAAATATAAATGAATTATCATTCTCTGCAAAAAAAATGTTGTATTGCTACACCACGGCACCATGTTAAGGGAGGTTTGAGTGCTAACAAACATGTTTAAGCCCGCCTCAATATATATGTGTCTGTCCATGGTCAGGAACATGTAATATAGCAGCTGTCGTAAGTTGCTGCCTGACATATTTGTTTATGATTTTGCCATAAATCAGGCAATTTTGATACGGTATGGGTTTTGTTCATTGTGAAGTGTATAGTAACCAATAGTTGGTCAAATCTATTTCATTTGGACTTTGTTTGGAAGTCCTCTCAGTGAAAACCATTCCACGTCTCCTTTTTCAATTAATGTTATTGTCTTGTTGTAAAAGGCAGATACAGCCAATATATTAGAATAAAGAACATTAATTTTCTAAAAAAAACTTCATCTCTATATAGTAAGAAATGAACAAGCTCGGTGGCTAACACTGTTTAAATTTAAAAACTAGCTACAAAATGTCTCCAAAATCAAAGATGTGGAACATATTCTATCATAATCATTTGGAAATAATGCAATTAGTATCTCTTCCATGCCCGTGTTGAACATAAACAATACCCCTTATGCTCCTGCTGGTTGTCATTGTGCAACACAGTTAATACATAGAAAACATAAAACATAGAACTCCTTTTGTCATATAAAACACTGTCAAACATCCAATCATACTATCCACACTGATCTGTGTCCACACTTGTTAAATTCAAAAAAATATTAACTATAATGAAACAACATCTAATAAGGACAGGTTGAAATATTTTTGAATCCTGATGGTACATACTCATAAATTTTTTTGGAAAAATCCACGTAAATTTAAATGTTGATTTGATAGCGTTCATTTGTTTATTTGCCCTCGTAAACAGTTTTGTTAAAATACCGAAATCGGTAAATTCTTATCGTGAACGAATAAGTCGGGTACACCTTTTTACATCCAGACGTGCTTAAGTTGCACTTTTTTTTTATTAAGAAAAATGATTTTAATTTTAGCATCTATCTAAAGATTAGATTATTTACACACACACAAAAATAGGGCTTACTGTTGATTTTGAAACTCTATGAATTCACATTCATATTCAACGTGACCAAACAGATAGGCCGAGATCCATACCTTTATAAGTTTCAAAACAGAGAAGGTGTGTTTGAAAACAAATAATCACGTACTGCTATATCTTTTAAGGCAAATGCAAGTCTTACTTGTATTAATTATATAGTTTTAATTGGCACAATATCACATTAAAATTTAATGAGAAATATTATACATAGTAATCATGAAAATGTACTACTGTAACAATGAAAATTCGGACGAATACACTCCTTTTCACTACCCCTCCATCTACTCATTTAAGTTTAGACCAAACAGCCTTAGCAAAAGTCTTTTATTATTTTTTCACTGTAAATAAAAAGATTGATTAAATTTACTTAAACTAAAAAATACAATCTTATTTTCAATAAGAAACAAGAAAATTAATTCGAAACACAATTCATGATTTATTTCTCCTAATTTTCAATGAAAACAAAGTATTTTCTTCACTTTTCTTTTAACAAATTATTCATTTCAGAAATTTAAAAAATAAACAATGTTGAAGACCGTACCTTGACCTATAATGGTTTACTTTTATAAATTGTGACTTGGATGGAGAGTTGTCTCATTGGCACTCATACCACATCTTCCTATATCTATTTAACCCAGCACATTCTTTATGTGTCTGTCCGAAGCCACGAGCCTGTAGTTTGGTGGTTGTCGTTGGTTCATTTCTATCATATTTGTTATTTATCGTAAATTGTTTTGTTATGAGTTAGGCCGTTAGTTTTCTTGTTATATCCTCCCACAATTTTCATGTCGGGGCTTTTTATAGCCGACTGTAAGGTACGATTTTTCGTTGTTGAAGGCCAAACGATAGCATATAATTGCTTACATATACTTTATTTGACCCTGGTGGATAGTAATCTTATTTGCAATCATACAACATCTCCACTGTTTATATTAAAAAAAAAAAAAAACAGCACCAACAAAAGATGAATTGTCGGGTTTTTTTTATTGAACTTACAAAATTTCACCCTGACAACAAATAAGACAACAGTCGTTAGTATTATAACGATATATGAATGTATTTAGGATAATATGGTTGAAAAAAAACCTGTTTGTCTTTAAAAACACAAAGTCAAATAGAGGTACGCAACGACGACTTCTGAACGAAACTAACGGCATATATTTTATAATATTTGATAAGTAGTTTATTTTGTATATTTGTAAGCCGGTAAAGCTTTGATACAGCCAAAATTTCGTCACTTGATATTATCTAAACAGTGATTAATTTCATCTTTAAATTACAATATATTGCAAGACGCCGTACAGACAAAAGTTGTTATTTTGCAATTCGCCGTACAACGTCCTGCAATTCGCCGTACAATAAACAAACAATGTTTTGGTCCATATTCTTTAAAAACATCTTTATGACAACAGATTTCAGTCAATATGATGTCACACTATCATAATCAAAAAACGTGTCTGGAAAAATAATGAAAAACAGTTGAATATCTTGCCAATGGGACGACAGAGGACATTCGACCTAGAAATTTTCAGGTACTAAGTGGCAAGCTTTGGAGTATAACACAAAATATTGTCTTAATTTTGTACTTATCGGTCTAATAATTTAAAGAATTATATATCAGAAAATCATTTCTTAAGCGGTACCCTCGTCAAATCAGTAGAAATGCTTGAAATTGAATGAATTCTTACCTTGTTTACTTTTTTTTCCATTTCTCTCCGCTTCGTTAGTACCCAATTTCCGGTGGCGATGATACACAGTGATTCTGTATCTTCAAAAGTGTCTTAAAGCTTCATGATTAAAAGTATTTATATATAAGTTCAACAAAAGGACTTATTTTGTATCTACATTTCAAGACATGTTTTAGGGTTTGGTTTTGGTTTCTCAAGGCTATTTAATCTGAATTTGTCCTAGCCTAATGGTGGATTAGTATCTGAATGTAGATTTTGGTTTGATATTTTAATCCTTAACATTAATTAAAAGTTTCAAAGATCTTTAACTTTAATTAACTTGGATTTAATTATAAACTCGTGAATTTTTGTGGTCAATTTCATACTTGTTATAAGAATGATTGAATATCAAACCATGGGAGGATTAGAGATTATTTACGTGAGAACATAGATTTACACAGAGTAATGTTTCGGCTAGTTATTGGACTGTATTGAAAAACGTCATGCATGTAACAAGGATATTAACCATTGAAGAAGAAAATGTTGTGTGATTTGATACATGTTATGCATATATTAATATGAAAATTATACCACACAATATTTTCATGGACTATGAAATAAGAAAATTTTTCCCATCCATTGATCATGTTGATTATCTATAAGGTTAAAAAAATGAAATATATATTGTGATTAAAAATGTAGTTTTTGTCTAACACAAAGATGCTAATTAATAACAGTTCTGATCTATATATATATTGATGGAATTATGCCAAAATTGAAAATTAAAACCTGGAGGACATTCCCAACAATATCAGCATTTTGTTTATCTATATCAGTTTATATATTAAAAGATTGAAATTTATTTTTTCAGGAAGGAAAATGGCAGGTTTCGTAAAAAAGTGTCCGTGCCTTCGGCCACAGATTGAGGAAGATATCCGAGAATTAGATTATCGTCACTTTAGTTTAACTGATGTCCCTGCTGAAGTTTTTAATGTTGAGCGAACCTTAGAAGATCTATATTTAGATTCTAATCAGATAAGAGATCTACCAAGGGTAAGTTTTGTACTGGTCTGACTACATTTGAATTGGTATATATTGGTAATCAATAAAAAATATTTGTATACATCATCGTCATGAATATTGTAAATATAAGTGGAAACAAACAGATAACATGTTAGGTTTTGTTCATTTCATTTAAAAGAAAGTTGCTCTTGGTAGTGATTTTTCACAGTGGATGATAGTGAATGTTGGTGATTTCTCATGGGGTTCAAATTATTGGAGGTCGGCCAGTGGGGTCCCTGAACTTTTAATTCCAAAGGTGTCTCCTTTAATATTTGGAATCCAAAAGTCCTGGACCATCCACTCCGAAGAGTAAATTAAACACCTGTGTGGCTGTCAGATCTATCACTTTACTGTAAACAATGTAAAAGTGGAATTTTAATTTGTAAATCCAAGACGTCCTTGACCTTTTTCCTCTAAAATCAATTTTGAACCCTTCACTGATATATATATATGTTCTGTACATTGTAGGTATTGTAAGACGACAAAGTTGTAAATCAGTTATCGCTTTTTATCACATGCAATCATCTTTTTTTTTATTGTGATGCACTTAGCACTCATAACAATGATTTCAAACTGAACTATCTTGTGTGTCACAAAGTGTATGTTTTGAAGGAATATATGATATCCTGAAGTATTGATTTTCAAATTACATAAGTTGTTTTTTTATTTTTTTTTTTATAAACCTTGTTTGGAAATTTTCACAATTGAAACAAGAACTATCTACTTTGGGTCTGACGTCACTCTCATAATAAAAGTTTGAAATGTTTTGAAAATGTAAATTAAGTAGAGTTTTATTTATTTAAAATGAAAGAAGTTGTTTGAATTAAAGTTAAATATGATAATTACAGGAACTATTTTATTGTCATGGGATTAGAAAGTTAAGCATCAGTGATAATGAGATTACAAAGATACCTCCTGCCATTGCCAGTCTCATCAACCTTGAAGACCTTGACCTTAGTAAAAATGGTAGGTAATAGAAAGTCATGTGACAAAAAATAATTGGAAAGTAAGGTCCATGCATGAGGATAAAAGTACTTTTGTAGTCAGACTTGAGCTGTAAATGCTTGACTCTCTCTATGACTATGTTCATTGCATGGAACAAGTAACCAGGGGCCTCGGTCATAAAACTTTTACTCTGTACTCAGGAGTACAAAATTTGTACTCAAAACACCAAAAACAATAATTGATTGGTTGATTTCTGAGTCATAGTGCGATGATCGTGCTCAAAAGTTTTATGACCACAAGGCATTAAAAGATAGCTGAATATACATAATAATTACTTGAAACATACATAAAAGAATAACAGAAAAAATTAGCCCATACAACAGACCACATCGACCATCAACATTTAACAAAAAATTTAACATACAAACAGAAAAATATCAAATAAAATTGAGAATGGAAATGGGGAATGTGTCAAAGAGACAACAACCCGACCAAAGACAGCAACCAAATTAAATGACACACAAAATCAAAAGACATCTTAGAAATAAGCATATAGTCTTCAGCAATAGACATTAGTGTCAAAATACAATATATCAAGCTTTGAATTGCTCGGACTCTAGAAGAGTTGTGAATAGTTCAAACAGAGACTAACAAAAGATCCACCATCAACATCCAATTTTAAACAATGTATTAGACATACCGTACTTTATTGTACTTTTACACCCACTTTTTACAAATTTTGGATCAAGTTGATCTCATATCTCTGGTAGAAGCCCTGGCCTCATTGAAAGATTACATCAAACTTGAAAATATATTGTAATATAAATACTGTAGGTCTGTTTACAAGTTAAAAGGGTCTACTTTATTGGTTCACACTCTGTTCAAAGCAAAAAAAAAAAATGATAAAGTAGTCTGTTATGTTATTTCTATGTAGATTTACTAAAAGTGTTTGCTTCAAAGATTATGGAAACACATTATGCACTCATGAAAGATTAGGAAATTTTGACCTTTTAAATTTGTATTTTGTAAATAATGTTTTTTGTTTAATTTTTCTGTAATTTATATATCTTTCTCATGTTTCCCAGCCCATTGTATATTTTTGGGATGTTGGAATGTTTCAATGTTTTAATTCAAATATGGTCTTTTTGCTGTTTAAGGGTATGGATTTAGGGAACCCAGGCTGTTGACCTAACTCAAAATTTTGTAATGTAAATGTAGGGGAAAAAAATCATTTAATTATTGAAAACCTTTCCGCCTGCTAATGCATAATATGCTATTGTATTTTACAGGGATTATTGATATGCCAGAGAATATCAAATGTTGTAAATACCTCAGATGTGTAGATGCCAGTGTTAACCCCCTCGGAAAGTAAGTGTTATACAAACAGAATATTTATCATTTCTTCAATGTAATATAAAGACCGGTAACTTTAGTTAACAGTGATACCTTGGGCTAAGGTGTTAGTCTTCTCGTTTTGTTTCCATTGTTTCATAGTGAGGCTGTCACCATCTTGTGTAGGCGATATCCTGATTGTATAGTTAGTTGACAGCTAGGTCAGCTGATTTGTATAGTTAGTTGACAGCTGTGTCAGCAGATAGATCCAATGAAAAGACAGTAGTTAAATTTCACTTTCTATTTACTTTGCAGACTTAGCAGTACTATTGAAAATTCTGTATAGTTGATTAATTACTCTTTAAAAAATGTCAAATCAAATACATTTATAAAGTCTAAATATTTTTAAAATTTATATAGGCTTACAGTTTGAAATTTCAGTTTGTTTTCTTGGGAAGAAATGAGAAAAAATTGAGTGCTGTATACAAACTGTCTGGATTTTTAACATGGAATTTTTTCTACAAAATAGGAAGAAAGTGCATGGGGGTCTCCTCCTATATAAAGGTATACACAGAGTCACAGACATGCTGCTGATATGGGTCATAAATTTTCATCTTCTGTTAAGATGTCTGTAATCTATTTAGCTAATAATATGAATGATCCCATATGGTTAATGTCTGAATATGATGTCATGATAGCTTGAAAATATATTTAAATGGGTTGTGATTTCCTATGACATATGTGAATGGATATGGATTTTCTTATAAATCAATATATGAATAAGGGGTGTTTTTTAAAAATCCCAGCTGGAGGTCTGTACCTAAATTTGTACATTAAGACCCCTCCCTACCCCCCTGTGAGAAATTGGAAGCCTATATTTTTTAATTTGTACATGAAGTACATGTAACAAAATTTGAAGGACAAGTTTTTGTGTTACAGTTAATGTACACAAAGAAATGCTGTTATTTGATCCTAAATGTAAACAGAAAATAAAATAGAATTCTACCTTAATCTGAATTAAAATATTGAATTTAAAAGTGAAAACTAGGTAGGGTTAGGTAATAAAAGTCAAAATATTTAAACAGCCTACATCAGACTGATATATATTCATAAGTTTATTCAGTTTCGTACAAACATTTCAAAAAAATTTCCATTCATAGTGTACTAAATCTTTTCAATTAATTCTCTGATGTACACAATTAAACTTGGGAGTACTTGTATAAATAACATTATGTTCCATTAAAGTGTATATGAGTTTTCTGAATGGCGTTCCGTTCTACAATTAATTTGCACGCACGAAAAAGTTTATCGGTCTTTTCAATCACGAATAAATGTGCAGTAATTCGGTCTTTCATTATCTCGGCAATTAATTATCAGGCATAAACCAGGTTATAATACCAGCTGACTTGTAAACTTGTTCTTTTGTAAAGACCTTAAAGCGTAGAAACATGTCTGAATTATTTATTACCCCAGAATTATCAAGTTGCTGTAAAATACAAAATACCATACAAAAAGAAATCTTTCACATTTATTATTTATGATTTATAGGTAGAATACGATAGCAGAGTATAAAATATCCGCTCTTTTTAAGATTTATACATTTGGTATCTTTTGTTAGCCATTTTATAACTTAAAAGCAGTTTAACATAATGCACATTTTCTTAGTCTCTGATTATGCAAATTTTTTAGTCATCCTGTCTTACATAATAAGGTTTATAAGCTTATATAAGCTTAATAGAATGATTTGCAAATTGAGGTTTTTAACGTGACTTTGCAATTCATATGTCATCCGTGTAAGAGATAAAAGATAATCGATTTTTTGTGAATGAATTTTCTTTTTATATGATATAACACGATAATTTAAAGCTATGTGCTAATGGATATGTTAACTTTTTAATTTTCTTGTAGTCAAATGGTATATATAAAAGTTTCCTTAAATGAAGTCTGACAATTTTGTTTTAAATGTAGAAAGCTATTTGCCAACAAAGTCTTCTGAAACTTCACCAGAAAGACATATTTTCCATCTGGTTTGCAAGTCCTGCAGCATTATTTCTGAAGTTTTCGGAAAAATTAAATCAACCCACTTGAAATGAACACTTTTGTCACCCTTGGAATATTAATTATATGGAAAATTGCATTGTAAGCGCTCTCACAAGTGCAATTCTTGTCAGATTTTTATCAAACTTATCAGATGTTTATATCAGCAATGTCTTGGACAATTTCGAAAATCATTGTTGATCAACTTTTTTTAAAAGTGCACTGTAAGTGCTTTCAAACATATATTTCTTTTAAATACTTATAAAAAAAATTTAAGAAAAAAAATTTTTTTTTACTTATTTCCCTTGGATAGATACAATATGTGCAACACTGGGGACGTTAAAAACTGTTCTTTTATCTTTTTAGATACAAAGACAGACAATAGTTGTTGATATCTCCAGTAGTTAACTAATACCCCTATTTTCCTCACAGGATTAAATGACTCCTCCCACATGTACAATGTAGTTCTAGTAGTTCATAGGGCATTTTAGTATCAGGGCTCCATGATCCTGTAAGCTTTTATCCTGGTTCTTTTAACAGTGGACAAAAATGCAAGATGAATTATTACAATTTTAGTAAATGCTGCATATAAATAATGTTTATCAAAATTTGAAATGTTGGTTTTTATTTTTGCAATACTATGTTGCAGTATTGCACTGATAAAAATATGGTTATTTCAAGGGCCTCCGTGGGTGAATGGTCTAAGTAGTTCATTTACATTGATCATCTGCCTGTCAACTCTGAGGTTGCCATTTCAAAACCCGCTCGTGAGAATGTGAGTTTAACTACAATCTTAATTGACTAGGATTCTCGGTTACACTGCCATAGATCAGTGGTTTTCTCTTGGCACTACTGTTTCCCCACCACTAAAAACTGGCAACCATAATATAGCTGATAGTGTTGAAAGTGGTGTTTACCACCAACAATCAATCAATTACAAAATTTGTGAATATACCTTCCTTATAAAGATAGTAAAACAAGTTTTTTAAATGAAATAAGGACCTTATTACATTAATGTTTGAGCTACTTATTTTCATTTGATGGAAGGAAAGTTAGAATGTCAATTTATTGGTTTTTGCTTCAGACATGTACATTCTGTAATAAGATAATTATAAAATATTTATGAGATTAATTATATGACTATATATAAATTGCAATCAAGTATTTAAAAGTTCCATAACTATTGATTGTTAATTGTTTAATAGTTATTTAAAGTGGAGGCATAAATCAGAAGATTATAAATACAAGTTGCACATAGTCAAAAAATGAAAGGAGACTGATTTACACCTAAGATGTAAGATAGAAACAGATTATTGTTAACGGATAGTCAGTTTGAATGAAAGGAGATATGGGCTTATACATTGATGTGACAGCAATCCAACAACATGAAGTCAGAAAAATAACAAACCAACTAGCGGTCTTGCTAAGTCTTGAAGTGTCAAAACATGCCAAATGTTGAATTGTTACCTAGCTGTGTCTAAGATGTTGTGAATAATTCTAACATATGTGTTCTACCAAAGATCTGTCATCAAACTGAATTCTGGGTAAAAACACTTAACATAAAGGTCTGAATTTCAATTGATGTCAGAAAGGCCAGAAAAGCTTAGAGAAAGGACAACTCTTTAATATGATGTTTATTTGTGGCCCTTAAGCTTGATTGTTGAGGTAACATAAGATGTCACTTAACTATCACAGATTTGAGAAAATTCTCAAGACTGTGTGAAAAATTTAAAAGATATTGGAAAAAGAAAGAAAAAAAGTTTCAAGTATAAAAGTACAAAGAGTAGTACTTATTTAGGTCGGTGTATCTAAATTGGGATTTCACTTGAAATCCTTCTTGCTTGTTGAGGTTGAGAACCTTTTGAACAATATTGACATTGTGTATAACTCATTAAAATCCCCACAAAAAATAAACAACATTCTTATACATTGGAATCTTGACACATAGAAATGACCAGTGTAATGAAATTGTTCTTTTTATGTAAATATTGACACGATATTCCACGTCTTTTTGTCCTCAGTTAGAAGCTTACATCTCTTTAGTTAATAATATAGTAGGGCATTATATAGAGACTGACAGATTTGGACAATGGGAACTTTAAAAACTTATTTAACTAGCTAAATTGAAGAGAATTTAACTCTAACTGTTTATTTTAAAAGGATAAAGAGACTTTAATAGGTAATTTACGGGAACATTTTCCACTTCATTTCATAAGTTATGTTTCAATAATACCAGTATTATCTTTATTTCAGTGAAGTTTTGTTTACTACAAAACCTTGTCAAACATAGAATTATTAGAAAACAAATTATTTAAAAATGAGAAGCACAAACTTGTCTGATTTTATTTTTCATAGCTTGCAATTAAGGGACTTAGTAGTGAGGCATACATTTTCTTGCTTCCTTTAATAGCAACTGACCCTCAACTTAAATTTAACCTTTCTGATGGTCTGGAGGGGCTTTATAGAAAAGAGAATCATGCAGAGACTAATGGACCAAAAAAATAGAGAAGAAAGAAAAATTGGCCAAAAACATATGAAAAAATAAAAATTAGAGAATAGTGACCTAAAAAATTAAAGATTTCAAAAATGAAGACACCCAATCCATATCTCCCTTTCTGTTCTAAAATACCGAAGGGCCAAGTGAGCTTTTCCCATCACTTGGCGTCCGTCGTTCGTCGTCGTCCGTCGTCGTTAGCTTTTTACAAAAATCTTCTCCTCTGAAACCACTGGGCCAAATTTAACCAAACTTGGCCACAATCATCATTAGGGTATCTAGTTGAAAAAATGTGTCCGATGACCCCGCCAACCAACCAAGATGGCCGCCTTGGCTGAAAATAGAACATAGGGGTAAAATGTAGATTTTGGCTTATATCTCTGAAACCAAAGCATTTAGAGTAAATCTGACATAGGGTAAAACTGATGATCAGGTCAAGATCTATCTGCCCTGAAATTTTCAGACAAATCTGACAACCTGTTGTTGGGTTGCTGCCCCTGAATTG